GGCTAGCTCTCTCGTTGGAAATGTTGAGGTGGAACCTCGATTAAGAAAGAAAACCAGAGGATGTGAATACATTGTCATTTTGCTGCCTCCGGTTTAAGAACACTGCTCCCGCGGTAGGGCAGCGAGCCCAGACGCCCCCGTTAGCTCCCTCATTTTGAGGGCCTATCGCAGGGCCATACCCAATGGGACACAGTAGGCACGGTGCCTAGGGCCTACGGAAACTAAAGGGGCTACGAAAAAAAGGCATTGACCATGTTTTGTTTGTATGATTTAAAAAAAAATCAAGATATCTTCTTGAGTAATATTTATATCGCAAGGCTAAGCACAGTGTGTCGACAAAGAGGCAGATTCATGTCAATCGGGTTTTTTTTTTCTCGTAAGGTGAGAGAGGAATTAACACACGAGATGAACTTGTCGAGATGTTTGTTCATTGCAAATTTAGCAATGACGCCTCATTTCTCAATGGAGAGTAGTGCAAGGGAATAAGTGCGCGGCTGGGCGAAGTACGCGTGAAACGAGCGTAGTGACAGCAGCGGTCGTAGTAACACGGGGCAGCAGTAACAACTTGCAGAGAGTTATCACTGAAGGCCTACGAAACAGAAGTGCCTACAAGAACCTAATCTAGCCCTGGTGTATCGCTCCGCGCTTGTTCAGCGTTATTTGCTAGTATATAGAAAATCTTATCAACATTTATATAACCGCTTTCTCCGAGGTGCTTTTGCAGCAATTATAAAAATTGAAAACAAGATGATAAGGGGTTGCGAGGAGGAATTGGTATTATTAAAAGTGGTGGTTTAGCTTTAGTGACAGTAGAACAGGAGGGAGTGTTAAGGCGGAGTTGGGATAGGCCTGAGGCCTGGTCATAGCTGGGGGGTGGGAAAAGTAATGAGGTATCATTGCATCGGGAAGACAAACGGGAATTATTGAATAATGATAACAAGAATGATAAGAATGATGGTTATTTGAGCAAGAACCGAAGAGTCTGGGGAGAAAAAAACCCCCTCCGATGTGGAAAATAACATTTCCCAATTGTCTCCCGAGGTTCAAGCCTAAACTTCCAAGGGTGGTCATAATTACAGCCCATCACCGTCAAGCAAGCGAGATGAGTTCGGAGAGAAGATGACAAACGCAAATCGCGGGATTCATCACCGCTCGCCGCTGCACAATTCCCCGTTACCACCAACACAAATACACAACCGCTCCAAGCGGTACCTGTCTGGAGACACACCGAGCTACCATTGGCCTTCCACAGAGTTCTCTTAACTCCATTCTCCCAAGCATTTCACCAGCGTGAGCTCTGAGTTCCCTTCAGTTAAAATGGTCTTCCACATCACAAAAAAACATTGTTTTGTACACATTCCATCTGCCACGGCCTTCTGGTAGTGCACAATTGCAGCTGCATTGGTTCAACACGAGCAAAACTCTTTGGACCAGTTTTGACGTTCGGTGCTTCACCAGCAGCGTCAGCCTTGCTTGAACTAATGCCGGTGGAACGGCCCAATATTTAGAGGCAAGGATCATCTTTCTTGAATAAGAGGGGCCAAAGTGTTCCATGCAAAACTTCATACAGAACACAAAATAATTATTAGCGTCGCTTTCGAGAGTAGATGTAGCTGAAAAAAATAATTGGACAATAGCTTTGCAACTCCCCATATCTGTCCCTCCAAGTACGCACGTTCTATGCAACGAAATTTCCCTTCAATTCACTTTATTAGCGTGAACATTTGTTAGCGTCTGTGGAATCGCTGATTGCCACACTTGTCAAGTGAATAAAGCAATGCCATGCATCGACAGAACATTTCCTTGACGGTGATATTTGGAGTATTATTTACAATTTACGGTCTGTATACTTTTGCTCCTGACCGTACTGTGACGAGCGCAAATAAAGTGTACGTTCGTCATGCATGTAGGAGCCATGTTCACACACACATATATCTCCATACTTGTCAACCCAAACGGTTTATCAGTATTCTTGTATAGGAAATTGAGATTTCAGGTCCATACGGCATACAGCCGTTTCACAATACGGGCAAATATTTTTTTGTCTATTTGTTTGTGTTTCTCCCTTGTGATTGGATTTTGTAGGATGGACGTTGACATTTAAAAGGGTACGGGGTGAACAATAAGGTGTGAATTGGTCTGTAATAAGGTAGGCACTGATAATGGGTTGACAGGTATGTATCTCACGACGTATTACACATACACAAAGCACTCATCAATATGATTTCCCAGACCGAGATAATATCCATATATATAAAGCGGTTAGTGCACTGCAAGATTAACCCGGTGGCACAAGTTCCATTCCTGTCCCACGGCTGACATCGGCCGTGAGTGTTAATGAGAATAACTGAACTCAATGTTACGCCAGCTTTAACTCAATCCACACTGACCCAGTGCAGTGAAGTATGGTCAAACAACCCCCCTCATGACCAACACGGTATGTGTGTGCGTGGGTCGGAGGGCTCTAATAACAAGCAGTGAATTAACGAATGGCTGTCAATCATTAGTCGTTACAGCGTGTACGCGATGCATGTGTGTACGCGTTACAGCGTGCACGCGATGCATGCGTGCGCTTTGAATGAGTTTATCCACGACATTTGCAATCTTGAGTTGCATTTTGCCCGTGCTAAAAACGTGGAGGGGAATACAAAAACACAACAACAACAAGCAGTTCTAAAGAAATGTGTTAATGTCACAATGTGATTGAGTTTATTTCACAGTGTAAATGAGTTTTATTGTAAAATGTGTAGTTTATCAATGCTTTTCTAAAACTAGTTTTTTTATTCTATGGCGTTATTGCTACTAATGTATGTTCACCTCCCGGTCGCTCCCTGATTGGCCAGCTTATCCACATGTCACATGATAAATAAGATGACAACATGCCTGCACAATCATTGCCTTCCCACTTAAAACAGACAAACGTATTTCTTCCACAACCCATCAGCCGAGTTGGCCTTTTTTCTGGCAGTGCATCATTTAATTTGCGTTGTTTCAAGACAAGCAAACTCTGCGCCGGTTACCGACATTCATTTTCTTATCCGCAGTCAGGTTTTGCATGAATCGATGCAGGTGAACTGACGATCTTACGGACAAGGAATATGTGAATATGTGGAGACACGTACTGTCCTCGCATTTATTTATTCGAATTTATATTCTGTACAACGACGCTATGATTATTTTGATGTGCGTCGCGTGGATTCCCCTCGGGTTTTTTTTTTTTGCGTGTGCTCAGTGGAGTTATGGCGGTCGTGTAAAGCGATCGTTTACGTTCAAACGACTCTCTTACTACTTTCCCTTCCTTGGGGCCATATCCTCGACTTAACAAAGTTGGGGCCATATCCTCGGCTTAACAAAGTGTCGCCGCTGAGGCATAGTACTGAGGAATATGAATAGTAACAATAATTAAAATGTAGAGTGCGCATTCCATCCTAGGTACCCAATGCGCAATGCATGGTAAGCAGGAAACAAAAACAGAACCAGGGCAACCGACCAAACTAAAGAGATGGGTTTTCAAAGCAGACTTAAATATATCTACCGACTCCGATTGCCTGATTTCAAGTGGCAAGGCTGGGATTTCAAGTGGCAAGGCATTCCATAGCTTGGGTGCCACGCTAGCAAAAGCCCAATCACCAAAAGTAATGGGGAACCGCGCTGGGGAACAGCGCTGGGGAACCGCGCTGGGGAACAGCGCTGGGGAATTGTGCTGCCACTCGTAGGTGGCAAAGCCCCTGGGTATCGGCTCCCCCGCCACCCGCTAACTTCACGTGAATATTATCCGGCAGAGAACGCAAGGGAATGAAGGGATGGGGACGGTACAAAACAAGGTATCCTATGAATGAATATCGCTGCTCACCATGAGCTATGAATGCCCTGATGCATTGTTACTGTTCGCCTTATAGAAGGATGTCTCTGGTGTAGGACAATCAGCTACTGGCAAATGAGGTTCCAATGGTGTAAATGCTTACCCCGAGCTCTCATACTCTGATGGTGCATTGTCTTTGAGTTGTGCACCTTTTGGCGTCATCTGGTCCAACACCATGTGAGACTAGGCTCTAAGGAAAGCTGTCTCGGGTGTGGACCAATCAACTTTAAGGACAGTGCATACATTATCAGAGTTGTGTTTTTTGTTTGCATTCCGACTGCAGGTATTGTGGTCTATGCAAACATGACTCCTTGTAAAAAAGGTGTCAGTTTTGTTGCCAGATAAAAGGGTAAACATCCAATTATCATATTATTATTATTATCAGAGTATGTTTGTTTGCATGTTCACCACAAGTACGTGTCGTTAATGCAAAGTTGTTTCGTTGCAAAAGGTTTCTACTTGGTGTTTAAACGTCTTAATACCTCCTGTTTTAATGCAAAAAAGGGTAAAACCTTTTCTTACTTTTCATACTTTAATACTGGCGAAAAAAAGGTCCCATAGATATCACCCGAGATGATGTCCATCCGGGCCTCAACATTGACAACAGAAGGACACTGCTGATGGAGTAACGACGTTTACAGTCGTTGTTCCACCATTGGCCACGTTCAGGTTCAATCAATGCAGCTATTCCACACATTTGTAAATACCGCCGCCATTGAGGGTGACAATTGTATTGGTCACCAAGTTACAGCTTAATTCTTCTATAAAAAGGTCGCTTTGTTGGCTGCGCGAGGGCGTCCTGCCACCTCTGCGGAGTTGTGCTCCTCTTTCCTCTCTTTGTGATCATTGTGTGCGTTTCGCCATCATCGCGTGGCACATTTGCCAACTGGTGACAAATTCATTGCAGGAGGATAAATATCGCACGCCAATTCCATGGTTTGTAGCCGCATTCGCCGCGTGAAATGTCTACAAAAAACATCACCGAAAGGAGGTTACATCATCGTTCAACAAAGTCCCCCTTGGCTCCAGTCGCCAAAACGTCGTCGTTAAATTAATCTCCACACGCTCTCCGTTATTTTTCATCAGCTCCGCTTGCCAAGTGCCTGCTGCAGATAACCTCGCTTCTTGATTCCCACAGATTTGGCAGAGGCCAATCTGCGGTGCAGCCTTCCCGCCAGCTTACCAGCGGTCCGACGCCCATGGGTGAGTGTGGTTTATTAAGTCACTCACATGCGGGGGGAAATGTTGCAGTTTTAAACAATTGCTATTTGGCACCGGGGTGAGGTCGTCTCGTGTGTTTGTTTGTTGTAGTACGGAGTTAGACTGATGGCCTTAATCTAAGTTGTCTTGTGGTTGTTGTTGTTGTTTGACTTGCATCCCACTGGGATTTTTGCCCACAGTGTTGATGTACGGTGATTTTTCTGCAATATTTTGCTGTTTTTTCTTGGATTTTCTGTTTGCGCATAGTCACTTTAAGATGTTTTCTTGTTCATGTTTTAGTTTTTTTGTTTGTTGCGGTTGCACCCAATTCAAGAGCCGAATGGCTCACAGGGCTATACCTATAAAATTAACTTGAACTTGACTGTGGCTCTACTGAGCCAGGGGGTCTGCAACGAAAATAACAACCCCTCAATATTTCAAGAGCCGCAATGCACGTGAATACGAGACGGTGGTCCTGACATAACTAAGGTCACGAAGCAGCAGTCCTCGAAGAGCCGTGCGCAGCTCTGGAGTCGACCCCTGCTCTCGACCAAATCTTTGTGGAAGCTCCAGGCCCGTGCTGTGGGATGCACGGACACCGTGAGGTGGCTGCGGGCGCAGCACACCGATGTTGCGGCCTGCTACACGATGTGGTTTGCAAGAACTTCCACCTACGATAATTGGTTTTTTACCCTTCTATCTGGCAACAAAACTGACACCTTTTTTACAAGGAGTTATGTTTGCATAGACCACAATACCTGCAGCCATAATGCAAACAAAAAACATAACTCTGATAATATATGTGTAGTAAGTATATGGAGGCTTGACGACAGGATCGGAGGCACACTTATTTATTACACCAACACAGTTATTTACAGGTCACTGGGCTACAGGGATTTCTCGACAGCTAACCCCTCTAACCTATACCAATTCCTCCACTACGGGACTAGGGGAGGCTATCTGTCCCAGCTTGGTTAAGCTGGGATCCCGGCTCCCTGAGTCACCAGACCAGCTTCGTCTGGGCTCTCGGGGCCACGCCACCGGCTTGCCCTGGTCGGCCCTTATAAGGACAGCGAGCCAGGGGAGCTCTGGGGCCTACACTAGCAGGTCTTCCGTCTTCTCTGGTTATAGCTGAGTCCCCACTCCCGAGCCTTTCGGCTCATCACCTTTTATAGGACTTGCCCCCAAGGGGGGGCCCGTGGGGGATACACATGCGGACGTCGGTGCGAGCGCCACCCTTGTGTACGGCCGTAACCCCGCCCCTTGTGTTTGTTGGCCATCCGTGGCCATGCATAATCACACCTCAACATTCGTAGACATGCGCAATTACACCTCTACATCACCCCCCCCCTGTACAGCTCGCAGCCGTCCCCGGCTGCAAAAAAAAAAATCAGAATAAAGGTGCATCCCTCACAAAAACCCCGTGTGTGTGCCTCGCGTAATTTTTTACAAGAACAAGAAAACTTCAACAAGAACAACGAGAGGAAGAGAGAGAGAGAGAAAAAAAATAACCCGACGCACCCCCCCCCGGATAACACCCCAAAACCAACATATATATACACTCCGGATGCCACCTTTCCCATCGTCCGCAAGGCCCCCCAACGGCCGACCTCACAACACCCCTCCCTTTTTGTCCGCAAAGTCTGCGCGTTTTGGCGCGCGTTCTCGCGGCGGGTCCGTCACAAGGGCCCGTCCCGGCACGCTCAGTGACGGTTGTTGACGGTCCGGGTGCAAGAGGGTCAGGCTTCGCTGCCGAGTGACCCCCGACCCCTCCGGGAGGGGTTGGTGGGCGTGGGCCCGTCACTCCTGTTTCACCTGGGGACGGAACAGTTGGCGTCAGGTTAGGCGAGTGCAGCGACGACGGGGAGTCGGCGACACCCTCACACGTTTGGCCATGCGTGTGTGTGTGTGAACCCCGGGGCGGCGTGACGAATGGTTTTAACCTTGAGGGGTGCACATACCACCGGCGCCTCCCCCATTTGACGCGAACACATTGCGGCCGCAAAACCTGCACGACCTCCACTGGCCCCCGCCACGGCCGTACCAATTTCGACGAGGTTGCCAGCGGCACCTGAGGACAGTGCAACCACGCCCTGTCCCCTGGTACCCATTTGACCACCTGCACCCGCCCCAACCGAAGCCTCTCGTTCGCCTTCTGGCGGAGTTCAGAATTTTGCACGGCCGCTTCCCGCGCCTCAGACAATTGAGCGATGTTAAATTTAATGTGTTCGGACAAATTAGACTTCGCCTGGAGCGCCGAGAGCTTCAGCTGGGTCGCCACAGGAGGGTTAACTTCGCGCCCGTACATTAAAAAGAAAGGGGAAAATCCGGTGGCCGCATGGGGAGCCATTCTGTAGGCTTGCAACACACCGGCTATGCGGAGGTCCCAATCCGTCTGGGATACCGACACCTGCTGGGACAGCATGGATGTGATGGTCCGATGCAGCCGTTCCACCATCCCGTCAGTTTGTGGGTGATACGGAGAGGTCCGAACCTTCTCCGTACCCAAGAGGTCGCACACCTCACGTAGGAGTTTACCAGAAAAATTCCTACCCTGGTCAGTAAGCAGCCGTTCCGGAGCACCCTTGTCGAGGACATAGCCCTGGACAAAGGCCTCCGCGATGGCTGCTGCCGACTGGTTCGCCAGGGGCCAGGCCATAGGCCATCTCGTGAAGTATTCAACCCCCGTTAGTAAATACCTATTGCCCCTGGGTGTAGCGGGAAATGGGCCAAGTATGTCCAGAGCGACGAGCTCGTTAACCCTGGAAACTTTTATGGACTGCAGCGGAGGGTTGGACCCCCTAGCAGGTGGCTTCCTCTGCGCGCATTGCGTGCACGACCCCAAGAGATCCCCCACGTCCTTTTCCATGCCCGGCCAGAAGAAATCTAGCTGGAGCGTGGCAAAGGTCTTATGAACCCCCAAGTGCAGAAGCCGCTCATGAACAGCCCATACCACCTTACCCCTTAAAGCAGCAGGCACCACGAGCCGCTGGCGCCGGGTTTTACCATCCCAGTGCATTAAAAGTCCCTGGAACAACCCCCACGAGTCAACGTTTTTCACCCCCTGGCCAACCCCCCCGGCGCGACGGCGCAGAGCGAGGAGGGAGGTGTCCTCCATTTGGAGGCGACCCCATTCCGCGACCGACAACCCCAGCAACGAATCCCTCCCTTCTTGCTCGATAGGACCCGAAACCGAAGGCGCATCGGCAGCGGCCACGAGGACCGAATCGGTGGTGACGTTCGGAGACCTACAACGCCCCGAACCCAAGAGGCACGCGCACTCCGAAGTGGGTGGCAATCGCGACAGGGCGTCAGCGTTCGTGTGGCGGAGACCCTTACGATATGTGGTGACAAAGTCATAGTCTTGGAGAATCTCCAACCATCGAGACAACTGGCCCGATGGTTGTTGAACCCGCAGGGCGTATTGTAGGGCCGCATGATCTGTACGGACGGTGAACCGCCGACCGTACAGATACGGGCGGTACTGCTGAATGAAATAAACAATCGCCAATAATTCCCGACGGGTAACGCAGTACCGCTGTTCGGCTGGAGACAGTACCCGACTACCGTAAGCCACCACATGCTCTACGCCCCCAATGAGCTGGGACAGCACGCCCCCGATGCCCGTGTTACTTGCATCTGTATCGAGCAAGAAGGGTTGTGAAAAATCCGGGTAATTCAACGGCGGAGCCCCCACCAAAGCATTCCGGAGGGCGCGAAAAGAAGCCTCCTCCTCCGGCCCCCAATGAAACCTGACTCCCTTGGACGTCAAGGCATGCAAAGGTTTCGCAATCGTAGCGAAGTCAGCCACAAATCGCCGATAATACGACGCGAACCCAATGAAACTCCTGACCTCTCCCACCGAGGTGGGAGTCGGCCAGGAGCTGACGCATTCCGTTTTGGCGGGATCAGTGGATATCCCCGAGCGCCCAACAATGTGACCCAAATATCGCACCGATTCGCGGAGTAAATGGCACTTCTGTGGTTTAAATTTCAAATTGGCAGCCCGCATTTTGAGAAAAACAGCACGCAACCTCTGGAGGTGTTCCTCGAAGGATTTGCTAAAGACGATGACATCGTCTAAGTAAATCAAACACGAATCCCATTGCAACCCTGCCAAGACCAATTCCATTAACCGCTGAAAAGTTGCCGGCGCAGAATGTAAACCCATCGGCAAGCGGTTAAATTGGAAGAGACCTTGCGGTGTCCGAAAAGCAGTCTTAGGTTTTGATTCGTCATCCAGAGGAAGCTGCCAGAATCCAGATAGCAAATCGAGGGTGGAAAAGAATCGCGCCCCCGCCAAGGCATCGAGCGACTCATCCATTCGAGGAAGCGGGTACGCATCTGCCACAGAGATTTTATTCAGACGCCGAAAGTCGACACAAAACCGCAGTGAGCCGTCGTGTTTTTTCACCAAAACGATCGGCGCGCCCCACGGGCTATTGGAAGGGGAAATGATATCGGCGGCTAGCATGTCATCAATAGCCGATTTGACATGATCCTTTTCGGCGGGACTCAACCGAAAGGGATTTTGGCGGATTGGCGCGCTGTCACCCGTGTCAATATGGTGTCGCAGCAATTTAGTACAACCAATATCAAATTTGTGTTGACTAAAAACGTCAGCAAATTCGCTCAGAAGAACTCGCAGCTGCGCGCGCTGCGAGTCGGACAGGTCCACTGAACCCGCGCAAAGCGCATCCAGCCATCCGTCATCACAGTCCGAATGCGGTCGCGACGGAGGATCGGTGGATACCTGACCCACGAGTGGTTCCTCATAGGGTACCGGCGTTGCGTGTGCAAGCACGGTCCCTTGAGGAACCACGGCCGTTCGCGATCCCACATTAAGGACTGCAATGAAGGGGTCCCCATCCCCTCTCACCATGGTCTGAGCCGCGAGCAAATCTGGTCCATTTACCCCGGCCCGAGATGGTCCCAACAAGACCCCCCGATCCGCAACCCCTTCATTAAACGGCCGACGCAACCTAAGAGGGACGAGCATCTGA